CAGGCCTGGCCCCTCCTCTGCCTCCGCCCTGTCACCACCCTGCAGTGGCAAAGCCAGAGTCGATCAAATAGTGGCCACTGTCCGTTTTCTCAAGGACAGCGAGACATGTGCCTCACAGAAATCTGTGCTTTTTGGAGCCATTTTGTCAAGTTTTACATCACCACCCTCTTGCTTGCTGCCAAATCAGTTGAAGATGCAGGAAAGAATCTCGTAAGGCCACTCCCAGGTCTCCTGGACCTCATTCTGTCTCAGAGAAGGACGAGGTCCCTACAGAAGGGTGATTTCCTATCTTTTGGCCTTAGAGCATATGTAGGCCCCTCTGGTTGCCAAGTGGATAGAGTTTTAAATGTGAGGGAATATTCTGGAAATGCAGATGTGGTCAGCTGGGTGGAGTGCCCAGGCCCTCCCAGTGCCAAAGTGCTCCTCTAACTTTTCACTTCCAGGAACGGTCGTCAAGCCTGGAGGTTAGACTTGCTTAGCAGAGGAAGCAAACTGCTGTGAGCCACCGTTGGGCTCAACGGATTGGGACTGGCAGAAGAACACAAAATGAAACATAACTGAAACTAGAAACTGCGACAGGGGCTTACACAGCAGGAAACAAGAGCAGCAATTCTGAAGAGGACAGATGTGTCTGTCACCTGCTGCACTATTTGTGCTTTCGGGTCCAGAGACCTTTGTGGCCACCTCACATGGGCTCGAGCACTCGGTGAGGCCTGTGATCGCATAACCGCCACGGCTCTGGCATTTACCAGCTAGGGTTTTTCTTGTATGTGTATTTGTTTAAGTGCCTTCTCTTCTCAATATTAACTATGATGTCATAGAACACTGTAGACAGTAAGTCCTTCTTTAGGACCAAGCTAGTTTTCATACAACCCACCAGTAGATGACAAGGAACCACAAATGGTACTGACCCTCAAAGTAGTGGCTAACACGGAAAGAACCCTAAGGAGCTCTTAAACTCGGGCCCTCAGGGAAGCAAAGCTCTTCCTGGCTCTCAGAGTCTGGGATCTGGCGACAACCTTCCGGTGTCCCCAGCCTGCAGGGAGCACGTCTGGTCAGGGACTTCCGGGAAGATGAAATGCCCTAGGCCACCGGCATCCGAGACCCTGGAGAAAGCCCAGCGATGTGTGGAGAAACAGTGCCCACTAGTGAGTGACGTTCTCCAGAACTGCCACCTGCGACTGCCGTAAAGACGCCGCTGCGGAGCCAGAGACCTCCGCAGAAGGGGCGCGGCCCAGGGAGGGGCCCAGGGACACATGGAGAGATGTCGCCCACCCCGCGAACAGAGGAGCCCAGGCAATTAACCAGACGGTTGAAGATTTTCTTTCTGAAAGTTTGAGGAGAAATTTTAGGGCGCCCAAAACGCCAACTCCCTTAACTTGCACTCTTCATGCGGCCCCAATATTCTCATCAAATCATAAATTGTAGCAAAATAATCATTCTCAGCAAATCTGTACCAAGTAACCCAGAGTACTGAGGACTGATCGGCAAAAACATACCCCATCACTGGGAAAGTTCTCCAAAAAGAAACACGGAGGAAAGGAACTCGGGTCCAAGGAACAGCTCACAGAACAGAGAAGCAGCCCCTAGCACAAGAAGAAAATGCCCAGAGCAAGAACTGGGGACTTTATAGCCCCAGTTCCCACCCAGGTTCCCAATCAGGTCCACTTATGCAAATGAAGGCTTGAAACTTGCCTAGTTCTGATTGGTGGACGCAGCTGAGCCTTGATTGGCCCATTCAGTCCCAAAGTTAAAAAGATGCGGGTTTGAGGGAACTCAGAGTACCTGTGTGGGCGGTGGTCAGCAAATGGCCAGGTGGCTCTAGTTTAAATTCAGGCCCCGTGAGCCACGTGGGATCCCCCCTGACCGACTGGCTCCTTCAGATTCTCGTTTGCTCACACCTGACATCAGCAGTTCTTCAGCACAGCTGTATTGGGGCTGTTGTTTCGTAAGATTCTCCAAGTTACGACATTCAATTTGGGAAAATATTAGATTTCTCAGATTTCTCGAGAATCTCAGCAGAACCATGTTTAAGAAGCAGTGCGGCGCGATCCTTACCTAAAACCCGAGCAAAACAGCATTTCCAACGTCCGCCACAGCGCACAGGCCACGCTGCCACTTAGAAGAGGATTCATACAGTGGAAAACAAGCCAGTAAATTGTGTCTCCTCCTTCCAGTGTTCTTCTGTGTTTATGTGGTAATTTGCACCATTGGCACGATGTGTATGGTGGGTGTGGTGTGTAGGTGTGTGAGGTGTGTGGTGTTGGTGGTGTGTGGGTTGTGTGGTGTGTGGTTTGTGATGGGTGTGGTGGGTGTGCTGTGTGTGTGTGTGTGTGGCGTGTGGGGTGTGAGGTGTGTGCTGTGTGTGTGGTGTGTGTGTGG